AACTTATACCATTCAACTGTACAAACACCACAAAGAGCCATGAGTAATAACTAGTTCACACACAGTGCCTTCAGCCACTCTGGGGGTATGCATGCATGCTCACTCTGGGGGGCCAGTTTCCCCATAGAGAGGTATAATGACACCCTCGCAGTAGTCCAAACACTTGAGGCCTCACTAGTTGAGATAACCACCGTTTGGCCCAGGGGGACTAATTGTAGCCTAAACCACCCGGTTGCACTATACAACACACTCATTAACCCAGCATTGCAGGTTCACCACATTCCCGCTCAGAGATGAAGGAGCTATTGACCTACTCCAATGACATCACCAGTGGGGTGTGTCCCCACCCCCAACCACAAGGACCTGTTGTAGAAGAGACTGATATCGAGAAACAGTGCTATTGTGATCACCACTTTGTCTATTAAGTCGTGGATGGAAGACTTGTGACTTCTTTTTCGCGGCCTCTGGTCGGTAGCTCGACCAGCAATGCTATGCTGAATAGAGCCTATCACTATGGTGCTACCTACACAACACGATAGTAGTGAGGGGAGTGGCTTGGGGGCCATGAATAGGCACTTTGAGTCAATGATACCGGAAGCCAATTCAAGAGCGAGCACCTCTATACTACACTATTGTGAGATGCAATCGTACACGGTGTTGGGTAGTGGGAAGGCACGAGACTTGGACGTAAGACCAGCGGAGATTGTCCCTTTTTGACTTGCAATTTCCCTTATCATATAATACGTTGTTATAGTGTGAACCAGCCTGTTTACCCACTTTCCCCTCTACTCTCCTCACATCCCTACTCGCCAATACTTCTCTCCCCCTACCTCAAGCCCTCCTGCTCACCTTATCAAATCATTTAACGACAAGGGAAGCTCCCATATTAGACGGAAAGGTTCCGTTGGCTTGCAGGCGGAGGGGAGGCAGACGCGCTGGGTCCTGGGGTTTGTCATAAGGTCCCTCCGCCACTCGATCCCCACTCATGGGGGCACGGGAAACTTGCGCTCTTTGACCTCATGGTGGAGGAGGACGGTTGGGTGCGGCCCTACCTTGGACTGTTGGAGCAGAGGCTGGCCGTCCGGCTGGCTTTCACAGCCACCTGGAAAAGCGATCCATTTGTGGGGGATTTAGCCAGGTAATGGCGGGGTGCTTGGTGGGTGCCCCTCCTTCCCCAGTTTTCATACCCCACTGATGTGTGGTACATCTATGTGCAGTGCGAGAGTCCCCGCAAACCATTCGTGGGGTCGCACCTTTTCACACTCACCCCAGCCCCCTCGGTACCGTAGGGGTCGTTTCCCTCCCCGATAGTGAGACTTACAGATCTTTGTGTCATACTATCTCTTTGATGTACCTATATAAGGTCTGCGCCTGGTTTCGTGTGAGTCTTCGCCCCCTGCATACCTTTGACTTTCTCGTCTTGGGAACACTGTCAGCGCTGCGCAGAACGTAGCTAAAACGCAATGTTTACTCGAACCTGAGTCCAGTTCATAATTATATGGACATGCAAACCCAAGTATATGGATCTAACAAGCATGCACATGTACACCGCTGGTTATAACCTCCTTCTAACGCTGTAGAAGCAAATGGAACTAAAGCGTAACATTGCCACACAACAAGATTTAAATGGACATGTAATAGGCCTATGAGCTTAGCCCACTTCAGGAATTGAAGGCACTCGACATCTCAGAGCACTTTTAATATCCCTACAAGTGCCCTGCCATAAACCCTCATCTGAGGTTGCTGGGCAACGTGTAAGACCTTCAAACCAATAGTCAATTCTAAGTTATTTAAGCTCTGGGAGACATACAGTATGCACTGCCTCTGATTGGAAATAATTCACACAAAAGTTTCCCAAAAGTGTGTGCCCTAGATTTCAAGGAGCCAAAGTTAATAACAAGCAACAGCCTGCAGATCCCTAGTAATACTGGCTCATTGGGGAAGTAAGAGTCAACGGAGAGGGGAAGTGACAACAACAAGTCACTTCCTGCCACTTGCACAACAAATTGGGGGAGATTAGGTATGGATGGCCTCAGGGGAGACCTCCCTCTGTACTGGATTATTAACTGTCACATAATGTGAGGTGGAAATGACAAGGTGAGGCAAATTACGTGAAGAGAAGCACCACAATGTAAATACCTCTAATACTGCTGTAGGTTGTCCTAGAAGACTGGTGTACCTGATAGCATCCTGAAAGAGAGAGAGGGAGGGAGGTAAGGAGGGAGGGGGAATGAGAAGAAGGGAGAAGGAGAAGTTATCGCATTGTAGAGCAATTAAGAATAAATGCTCACACCTATTAAAATATAATTTTGAATAATGTCATTATGAGCATATTAGTACTTAGCAATAGAGAGCAGTTACAAGTTATCAGAGTACAGAGGCATACACTACAGAGGCGTTGGCAGTGTTAGCACACAGAGCACACGGCAGTGAGCTGCATACTCAGGAGGTTAATGATGGTGTGTCTAGGAATGCTGGCCCACTGAATACCAAGACAAAACCACGTGTACCATACTATCCTGTATTTCCTCTAGAGACAATGTTATTGCCTGCAGAGGTAACCGAGCAATTAAAATTTGTTGCCCATAAATTCAACAAACTATGTTGATTAGATTCTTGCCTCTAGCCAGTAGGCCAATGTATTGTACAGAGCTTCCAAGTATGTGCTGACTCACATCTTTTATGAAAATAGCGTGTATATACACACAATTTTTTGTCAGCCCAGTGCTACACAGTACTGCACTACCCAATGCTAGAAGGCAGGCTACACAGTATTGCTCTCTGTCTAGAAGGCATGCTAGACAATATTGCAAAATTAGTCATTTTGGATGTTGACTTGCTAGAACAACCGAGTCAGTGGGGAGTTGGGGGTGGCGACTGAAAATGAAGGCAGACTACATGTCTATCTATTTCTTGCCATCAGGGTGACTGGCTATGCTAGCAAGTTACGGGGTCCCTATTCCCGTTAAATTGCCACAAACAAAAGCACAAACGTGTCAGAACAATACCCAGTTAGCGGCGACGCTCGTCGGCCAAGCCAACTGATACGGAGAGCCCAGTCTTACTACGCAATTTATGTACCATAATCTTCATAGTAATTCCGCAGGACCAACCTATGTACCTCTGTTTCATCACCAACTTTCTTCGTAGCTTCACGGAGAGCGCAGAGTCCTATCTCCGCATATACATGCTCGTAAAACGACGCCGCGCTGGGTAGGTATACTACTGCTTTTTAACTCACCCTGTTCTGTCGCCGTGTAGGACCTCTTTGCAGCAGCCTAGCTAGCTGCACTCTCACACGCGGTTGACGATCGATTACTGCGGACAACGTACAGGTAGCTAGGTGTCTGCACGCGAAACCTATTAATTTATGCGCGCATGCGCATATATTTCGCTCACCCACGCGCGCGCATGCGCGATGCACGAGCTGTGCAGTGCATGCCATGGTCATTCCCCAATAATGCCGCCAATAATATCCGCAAACTTGGAAACTGTGTTCTTCAGCATACCTTTAGAAGTAGAGGGTACTTGGTGATCCTCTGGATAGGTTTGATGAGCAGAGATGACAGGGGCATCTGTAGACCAAACATTGACTGCATCCGCTGAAATGGAGACATAGGACAGAGAAGTAAGGGAGGGAATGCAATGCATGATGTTTGCAACACAGAGAGGGGGGTATATTTGTCCGTGACCGTATAATATGTACTTGCATGGGGTGAATCTACATAAAAACAGTGGGCAGCAGGTGCCAAGAGGTAGATACCCCGCGTATGACCCGTCCTCAGATATACCTGGCAGGATTGCTATGATTGTGTGAAACCTAACACCACCAGCTTGTACCTGGACCCAGCCAGGCATGGCTGGAATGACTGGCATCCAGAGGAAGTCGGCAGGGTGGGGACTTTATACCTGCCCCTCCCATCTCTCATTACGTCACATTACATCTTCCCCCTCCCCATCTCTCATTTTACATTACATCACACTCTCATTAATACATTATAGCTTGCTAGAATGTAGAACGTATGTACATCATCATACTGCGGTGATTGTATTTCAACACGGGTAAACATAGGCTGCCGAATAATATTAGGCAATTTCTTCGTTGAGGGGCAGATGACTGAAGGTTAATGTAATGTGCTAACGAGTATACTGGCACATTCCCAGTTACTAGAACTGGCAACATGCAGCTATAAGGGAGAAAGATATTCTTCACCCATGCAGGTACATAAAGTGAATGGCAGTTCGTTGACATTAACCCCATGCATATACTAAGTGAGGATGCTGTACTAACAACTACCTTTTATGGACTGAGCAACTGAAGCAAATGGCCTCAGTCAACATTTACTCAAAACTTAGTCTTAGTTGAAGAACCAACCCAACCTTTAAGGAAAACAACAGTTGTAATGCATAGACACAGGACAGCACAACTCTTCTCTGTGACACAGATGGCAGCAATTGTCCTTGCAGCTGCCCTGTCCCAGTGTTACAACTACTATTCACATGACTCTTAAATAAAGGATGCAGAGTTTACAACTAGGACATAATAATGAGCAAGCTACGTAAGAAGAACGCAAATTGCTCACGTGTGCGTCAGATAAACCATAGCTGCATTATGCACTCTAATTACACGTCTCAATTAGGACCTCATACAGAAAGCAACATGATAAAAGCTTGCATAATGGGCGGCTAAATCCCTTGCTGATAGGGAGTCAAGTGGATTCATTTCATTAACTCACCGAGAGGTATGTGCGGTGACTAGTAAGAAGATCCTCTGATGCCATCTTGTTCTTACAGTATGGGACATATACACCAGTCATATCGTCAGCCTACATACAAAGTAGAAAGTGCACATGCTTATTATATTGAACCTGTATATATTTTGGGACCAAAGTCTCGGGTACCTTTGGAACCAAAGTCTCAGGTACCTTTGGAACCAAAGTCTGGGGTACCTTTGGAACCAAACCCTCAGGTAACCTATGATACACCAGGTTTGGTGGTTTTCACAGTTCAGTATATAAGAGTGGTAAGGGGATCACTTACAACGACCTTATTTGATGGCGTTCCAAACGGATATCAGATTACAGGGTCAGATTGCAGTAAGTTACGTAATAATTACTGTGATGTTGGCATATGGTACTTGTTGTCCAAATGAAGGGAAACACGAACTACCCCACACTCTAATAATAATCAGCGGAGGCTCTTCCCTACTACTGAAGGTCATCTGACACAGTCTGTCTGGCATGCACAGAATACCACATTTAGCAGCCATATGCACATGAATGACACTGATTGGTAGGGTGCCCCTGCTATTAACTGGTGCAGGTCTACGGTGGCCAGTACATTTTATATACAAAACCAAAAGTGTGTCACTGATGATGATGAGTTGTTGCATAACAGTAGCACGTGAGGATGAATCTCATTAATCAGAAGGGCTGCCAGTTGCTAGTTAGCTTTCAGGATGTGTAGCTTCTCTCAGTAGGGACTCTGTTGACTGCTGTCAGTAGCACATACAGTGAGAAGTGACGATACATGGGAGCAGGAGATCAGGGCCAATAATTATCCCTTTCGAGTGTAAATTTACACACATTTAGAAACGTCAACAAAACTCGCACAATTGTGAACTTTGACCCGGTAGGCGGGCGGCATTGCGGCATTATCTCATAAAAACCACCCACGCATCCTCAGAAGTTGTTTGTCGGCACTTGGATGTGGCGGTCGGAGCTTTGATGTTGCTTTCATCTACCCTTTCAAAAGTGAAAAGGTCCGGATAGAGTGAGTGTTCTCAGCTGGACCATAGGCAGACACAGAGGCTGTGCTATGTAGGTCTGTAAAATGGCAGGGAAAGATAGCCATAGTGTGTGTGCGCTGCATGAAAGAGTATGTCCATTTCGGCAGAGTCACACGACCCAGGAGAGCGGCAGAAAACGCCGATCAAGCACAGAAGCTGAATTCCCGACTGAAAGAGATATCTGTATTACATGTCAAAGTTGTTGCATGTGTTCCTAGAGGGGTGGTGCACTAGGTCAGTGCCTCAAACTACAATTCCGAAGTCGCCTGTACACAGTCAACGAAATTTTCCTATTCCCAACTTAAGCAGCCTTTGTTGTAATACTTGCCATGCCTCCTGGAGGAGCTCTCTTCACCTCCGCTGTGTTTCATTTTCTGTGCCCGTAAATTGTGTACGAAATTCGTAAAATTACGGATGTATCCGTGTGAAGTTGGAGGCTCTGCAGTTATACCAAACTAATGCCTTGATATGTAACGGTGCATAGTTTGTATTATTACATAGAGATGGTGCACTCTTAGTCAGTGGCGGATCTAGATTTTGAAAGGGTGGGGTTCCGCTGTCTTGAACGTTTTCAACTGCGCTCGTGTGTGCGCACGAGGCCGGCGACGCATGCACGCAAAACGACAGAAAGGGGGGTTCCGCGGAACCCAAGGAACCCCCTGGATCCGCCACTGTTAGTAATAGTAATGCAATTTACAAGAGTGAAACACAAGGAGGGGATGTGTACACTGTGATGGCTAGCGGCTCTGTAAACCACAGGAACTGCAAAAGAGGCAGTGAAAAGAAGTGCAAGTGATAGCCACATGACGTTTCAGGAAGAGAATTGAATGCACCTGTGGGATAACCTTGGCTTGACGAGCTCAAACACCGGTTGAGGCTTTTCACCAGGCGTTTGGGCGTTACTTATAAGCAGGAAACTACAGTACAATAGAGAATCCTCTCAATAGGACTGTGTTGTGACTTGACCTTCGATGGCTGATAGAGAACAGACTAGCACCACAACCTGTCCTTGGATTAAGGAGGGAGCTGCAAGCCCAGAAGAGCCAGTTTAATACCCAAATACGTTTGAGTATAGAGCCCGCAATTAGTTCTTCCGATCAAAACATTTGACATCAGAAGACCCACCCACTGTTATGCAACTGATGTTTATTAGTGACATCAGCACGGTCTGCATATGCATAATTGGTGCACACTGTCACAGTGTGTATGTGCATGTCAACAATGGCAAAAACAAGACAGCAACACCCAGGGCAACTCAATTTTAAGAAGAACTGGTCTAGGTGGGATTCGAACCCTCGACACTCTGCAGTCTAGATGAGCGCTCTTCCAACTGAGCTACCAGGGCAACTCAGCTGGTAGGGGTTCAAATCTACAACACAACACAACACAAGACAAAGGCAAACCATAAACCACTGTGCCATGGAACAGTGCACTCTTACTCAGTATGTACAGTATGTAGTTGTGTGGACGTATTTGGCAAAAACGGTGCTCCAATCCATCGCTGATTGGGAGTAAAGGAAGACAATGGAGAGGGAGGGGTGAGAGGGAGGAATAGCGAGAGAATGGGTGGGTGAAGTGAAGGAGTAAGAGTGGGGGAGGGAGGGAAGGATGAAAGGATGAAAGGAAAAACTCACACATTCAATGAAGACGCGGGCTGCCTCGTCAGTGGTTGTGGCCCTCTCCTTCAGCTGTGGGAGGAAGTGGAGTCTGTGGAAGGCATCCACGTCCTGGATGTTGCTGAAGATGATGTCCTCCTTTCCCTTTAGGGTACTCGGCAGAACCTCCGACACAAACCTCGGGCGACATTTCTGTCAGAAAAAGTAGCCTTATTTCAACAGCTTGTAGACATGCACACACGCACACACACACAGTTGTGTTCACTAAGTACGAGCATAGTATTATGATGTGTGTATGTATGTATGTATGTACCTCTATAAGTTTCAGGTCTGCTACATACGTCTCCTCTGTCTGCAACATCTCTTCCAGAACTCGCCTGGTGTGGAGTAATGGTTAGGTTTCACCTTTTGTCTTCTGCCCCATTTTCTCACTAAACCATCTTTTCCACCCTCCGCACACACTCTCTTTTATACCCCCTCTCTCCCCTTTCCCTCTCACACACACCCCATCTCTCCCTCCTTCCTTCCTCCCCACACTTGACACCCACTCCTCACTTCCCTACTCCCCTTCGTTCCTCCTTCCCTCCCCACACAAGCTCTCCTATGACACCTTCACACCACACACACACACACACACACACCCCATCCCTCCCTCCCCTCCCTCCTCCCTGTTCCCTCACATTACACACACACACCCCATCCTCACCCCCCTCCTCGTTCCCGCCTCACTCCGTTGTTTGAGTGAGCTGTCTCTCTCGTCCTTCTCTACCCTCCGCCGCCCCGTTCCTCACCTTCTCCGTGTGTTTGGTGAGCTGTCTCTCGCTCTCTCGGTCCTCCCCTACCCTCCTCCGCGTTCCCTCACATCACACACACACACACCCCCATCTCTCCCTCTCCTCCCCTGTTCCTCACTCGCGTTGTTTGGTGAGCTGTCTCTCGCGGTCCTTTCCTCCCTCCTTCCCGTTCCCTCATATCACACACACACACACACGATCCTTCCCTCCCTCTCCCGTTCCCTCACTCTCGTTGGTAGTGAGCTGCCTCTCTCGGTCCTTCCCCTCCCTCCTCTCCCTCCCTCACATCACACACACACACCCCATCCCTCCCTCCCCCTCCTCCCCGTTCCCTCACTCTCGTTGTTTGGTGAGCTGTCTCTCTCGGTCCTTCCCCTCCCTCCTCCCGTTCCCTCACATCACACACACACACACACCCCATATCCCTCCCTTCCCCTCCTCCCCGTTCCCTCACTCTCGTTGTTTGGTGAGCTGTCTCTCTCGGTCCTTCTCGCTCTCAATCTGCACCAGCTTCTTGTGGAGTCTCTCCAGCTCCAGTCTGAAGCACTCCAGATCTCTCATCGTATCTCTGGTGCTCTGCTCTATCTGAGCTGCCTGCTCCACCAGCACGTTGCTGTGCAGCTCCGTACTGATTCTCTTTGCCTGCGTGCACGGAGAGAGAAAAACAAAGTCACCAAACAGGCAGAGAAGAAGCATATAGCTAAGCTGCTGGGTGTTCAAGATTAAGCAAAGTGAGTACAATTTGCTTACAAGATTAAGCAAATTGAGTGCATAGGTGGCATAACTCCCCCTCTCTTAAACCCAGTGAAGTAAGAATGAACACCGGAGATGTTGGAGGCACAGAACAGTTTTCAGTTGCTAAAAAGCAGGCCTGGGAATGTGTTAACTAGTGTTTTTTCATTAGCACACGGAAATCAGGGAACCACTGAGGGAATCGTTTGCTGACAAACTTCACACATTGCTCTAGCAGCATAGGCGATATTGTGCCAGACCGTGCTTCAAAGGTGTATACTTGGCTTCAATCATAAACAAAGTCCCACTAGAAATGAAGGCTAAGATAGTCATTGGGGGCGTCCACTGCAATTGATGACAGTTTATTTTACGGCTCAGTATCAACCCAGCAACCATAAACACTCTCAAGCGTAGTTTGTATAATGCTTACATGGTGGTTGTCTTGTTTGCCTTGCCTTGCCCTTCTACCTCATTACCAACTTGTTGAGACATGGTAACAGCATACTTAAAAGCTGATCACTAAGCGATTTTTTTAATGGATTAACGTATACAGAGCTCAGGATGTTTGTGTCGGTTAAGAAGATGTTCAGTAGTTAGAGCAGCAGAAGTCTGTTAGCCACCCACTCTACTCCTGAAAAACCCTTGGTAACAAAGTATGGGTGGCGAAGGGGTACTGTACATCCACAAAAAACCTGGCACTTTAGTCACTCTCGGTGCAGTTACCAAATTAAACGTGCACATTTTTGTGACCGCACACCATACGTAATCTATTGCTTTAAGGTTTAAGGGAATGTGGAAGTATTGTACAGGGGTTAAATTTAAACAAATGTTACTAAAAACGGAAACATAATTGCATTCTGGTACTCGGCTCATCTTTAGTCCCTTATGTAATGCCACATTCAGGTAACCCACATTCACTTTAGCAAAAAGCAGTAATGGATCACACCTGGCTCCCACAGCAGAGATCTAAATATACACTCTCTCTCCCTCTGACCTCAGTGACTCTGTCTTCCTGTTCCTGGACGGTGCAGGCCACATAGACAGAGAGCTCGTCTCTCACCTCGGCTGCCTCCTCGCTCCGGTCCACGGACTCTGTCCTCTGGGCCAGGGAGTCCAGGAGAGAGCGGGTCTTCTGGACCCAGTTACTACCCTGCAAACAGACAGCATCATATCACACTTAAAATAGCAGTATAGGTGGTTTTTTTACACTAGCTACAGTGGGTGTGTGTATGTGAGAAATGTAGGTTAGAATCTGGCATATCAGAGCGGGTCTCCTGGGCCCAGTTACTGCCCTGCACATACAGACAGCATCAGAACAATCGAATGTAGTACGTGGTTTTACACTAGCTACAGTGGGTGCGTGCATGTGAGAAATGTAGGTTAGAATCTGGCATATCAGAGCGGGTCTTCTGGACCCAGTTACTGCCCTGCACATACAGACAGCATCAGAACAATCGAATGTAGTACGTGGCTTTACACTAGCTACAGTGGGTGCGTGCATGTGAGAAATGTAGGTTAGAATCTGGCATATCAGAGCGGGTTTTCTGGACCCAGTTACTGCCCTGCACACACAGACAGCATTATGAACATGCAGTGCGTGGTTTTTATTAGCTAAGTGCTGTGTGTGTAATGTACGCTCGAATCTGGCATGCAGGTTGACTTGTTTTTATCACATCAGGGTGAGCCCAGTTACTGCCCTGCACACACCGACAGCATACAAAGTGCTGTGTGTGTGTGTGTGTGTGTGTATGTGAGAAACGCCAGGTTCGAATCTGGCACCCAGATTGGTTCTTATCATATCACAGTGCGAGTCTTATAGACACAGTTACTGCCCTGTTCGTTTGTGTAACGGTTCCACCCATTGCTCTGGGTGCGTGGTCTATGGCCCTAGTGCTATGGCAGCCACCTGAGTATTATTATTACTGCCCTGGACACGAATAATGTCAGAACATTCAAATGCAGTACCTGTTTTTTTTTTTTTTATAAGTGCTGTGTGTGTATCAGGTTCGAATCTGGTATGCAGGTTATTGTTATAAATCAGCTAAGAGCGTGAGTTATGTACACCCTGTATAATACGACATCCGAACATTCAAATGTAGTAGTACGTCAGTTTTTACACTTTAGCTAAGTGCTGTTCATGTATGTAAGAGATTAAGGTTCAGATCCATGCAGGTTGACTCATTAACGACACCAGAGCATTCATATGTTTCTGTGTACAACCTCAGTACTGTGTGTGTGTACTGTATGTGAGAAATGAAGGTTTTGTCATGGTTGACTTTATCTCATCGTCTAAGTCACAGTCAAAGAAGTTAATGCTTACATTAGTAGCGTGGTGGTTAAATGCACCAATTTATGATGTAGCAGTGTAATGGCGTGCACAGCGAATGGAGTTGTTGTGCGCTATGCTAGTAACATATTCCCAGCTAGCCTCCTGACCTCAAAGAGGTAGTCCTGGAAGCTGAGAGAGAGGTGGAGATTCTTGTGTCTCTGTTCCATGTCGGAATAGAACCGGGTCCACTCCCACTCGAGGGAGGAGGCGGTGCCCCTGATATGATTGAGTTCTCTGTGGCCGTTGGCTTCTACCAGTCTGTAGCTGGCCAGGAGAGACTCCACCTTGGTCTTCATGCCGGCCACTTCTCTGTCGTCGCTACCGTCGTGTTCTGTCAGTAGCTGGAGAACCTGTGAGAGGGGGGAAAAGGGAAAGGAGGGTTGAGAGGAGGAAGGAGGGAGAAATGGAGGGAGTAAGAAAAGAAAAGGTGGAGGAGGGAAGAAGGGGCGAAGGAGGAGGGGAAGAGGGAAGAGGTGAGGTGTAGGAGAAAACAGAAAGAAAATGGAGCGAGACAAAAGGAGATGGGGGTGAAGTGATGAAGGAGAAAGAGAGGCGGAAAGAGGTAAAGGAGGTGGATGGAAGAGAGACCAAACTGCGGCCATATATTACCACACCTCTTCCTTCGACCGTCCAAAGTTGTTCTTGTTCTTGAGCATGTCGGTTCCCCTGGTCTCGAGCCACGCGGTCACTTCGGGGACAGCCTCCTTGAACTCAATGACCCTGCGAGAGGTATCCAGCTGGCCCCTGCGGTGCTCCCAGAGAACCAGCAGCCCCTGCAGCTGCTGGTCAACCTTGTACAACTGGGTCTCTATCATTATCTGGAGGGGGATGGGGGTGTAATGAGTGGGAGAAAGGGAGAGGATAGGAAGATTTGTAAGTACTAGAACGAACTGCCACAACCAATCCACCTTGTACAACTGGGTCTCTATCATTATCTGGAGGGGGGATGGGGTGTAATGAGTGGGAGAAAGGGAGAGGGTAGGAAGATTTGTAAGTACTAGAACGAACTGCCACAACCAATCCACCTTGTACAACTGGGTCTCTATCATTATCGAGGGGGTGTGGGTGATTAATGAGTGGGAGAAAGGGAGAGGGTAAATTAAGTTAGATGAACACCATCAGAATGACCAATCCACCTTGTACAACTGGGTCTCTATCATTATCTGGTAGGGATAATTAGAGGGGTGTGGGGTGATTAATGAGTGGGAGAAAGGGAGAGCGTAAATGAAGTTAGATGAACACCATCAGAATGACCAATCCACCTTGTACAACTGGGTCTCTATCATGAATAGGTGTAAATGAACACCATCATAATGAGGATATCGGTGAAAATGTGTCACTTTTTGGATGGCTAGTGTTCGGGATGTCATTAAGAAACACATCTAGACTCAGTGCTCTCCGGAAAAACAAGAGTGACAAAATATACGTGAGAATAGAGTAGCTAAGTGAAGTACTGGCACGGATGACTTTCTTCACCAGGTTACCTCAGATTATTGAATAGAGGCTATATAGTTCACCTGATCAGGGGAGAGAGCCGGGACACGGTGGAGCTCTTGTAGACTTGAGACCTGGTTGAGTCTTTCGACGGGGTCACCAGTAGTCGTGGGGAATCCCCTTGCTGGTGCCCAGCCTCTCCTCGACGACATCATCCACCTTCCTCGTTCCCCATGGATCCTCCGGCGGTAGTCGGACTGTTGATGAGGTCATCACTACTTCCGAATTCTCTTGGGGCGGGTCTCCTGATCCCGTTGTCAAGGTCACTTGTATCTCCACTGTCGCTACTGGCAACACTGCGGGTGTCGGGGAGCGGACTGTGGCTACCATACAACTCCCTCCGTGTGGGCGTGGGCGACGATGTAATGGGCGTGACTGTGGCCAGGAAGTCGACGAGCTGCTTCCCCTGAGTATGGACGCTGCAGTGGCCTGCTCGACGAGGTCGCGAAGTTCGTGGAGGGTCGCGAGGAGGCGTTCTGCGTCAGAGACGCTCATGACCACGTCGCTCGAGTTGAAGTGACTGCGGCACTTTTCCATGATGGTACCCAGCTGAGTGTGTGTGTGTGTGTGTTGGATGGAAGAGTGAGGAGGGAGGAATGAAGGGAAGGAGAGAGGAACATGCATAAACTGAGTGGCACTAACTTGCACATGCACATCAGGGTTTCACTGCGCATCATACTAATTTCCAGTGTGCCAAAGAGTTTTTCACTTTAGCGCCTTCTTTCTGACTACTGACATGTGCTCAGATATCTACTCACTTCCGCAGTGTGGTTATAAGTACAGAGGCCTTGCTGTTTTTTGTTTTGCATGACGTCAGAACATTCAAATGCAGTACCTGTCTTTTTTAAGTGCTGTGTGTGTATCAGGTTCGAATCTGGTAGCTATGCAGGTTATTGTTATAAAGTGCTCAGATATCTACTCGCTCCGTGCCGCAGTGTGGTTATAAGCAGAGGCCCTGCTGTACATTAGGCATTCCAGGGTCACTAACAGAGGGAGCACTGTGAGCATGTTGAAACTGTTTAATCTAAACATAATTTTTGGGGGTTATCCCTCAATAACATTAGGGGGTGATGACCTCATTAGCCTCCCGGTTCAATTGCCCCTACACTGATACTGCCCATACAGCTCGCTCACCCTCTCCATTCCCTTGTAGAAGCTGACTCCAGACCTCGCCACCCGGACCCTCTCGCCGATGGCTCTACTGGCGAGCTCCTTCTTCTCCTTGAGGCAGTCGACACAGGAGCCCCAGCAGGTGCCCTCAGTGTCCTTGCATCCGTCCACCTGCTCTCCAAAACACATCCACATCCTTACACACAGCCTGTTGAAAGTGGACAGTGCATAGAGAGAGTGTAAGAACTGGCACGGATAGAGTGTTATGGTGTGAGGAGGTTGTTGCATTTGGTTAAAAAATTCTTTTGGTTCTGGTTTTACAAGACATTCTCAAAACCATGAAAAGGGAATGTTAATGCTTTCTAAATACAGTAATGAGTCTCTAGTTGTTCTCAGGGGCCTTTCGTGGGGCAATTGTCCTTCTCTAAAAAGTGCCTCTAGTGTATATACCTCAAGTTCTGGTGTTCTCAGTGTATCTCTGGAGAGTGGAATTGGCCGATGTGAGGGAGTGGCCGATGGTGGGAGCTGGTATATATAAGGGTGCAGGAATGTATAAGTCAGCAGTGGTGATAAGAGCAAGGAAACACTTCAGAGCCCCACCTGCAAGCAACTCCCAGATCATCATCATATATGGCTGGGGAGACTTCACCACTGCTGCATTACCCATTACCACTCTAGTATGCAGCCATATCAGCAATATCTTTCTTCACTGGAGCTCACAGCTGCCTTTCTTACCAGGGTCCGCATATAGGAGGCCTAGCCACGGCCTTTACCTTACCATGGTCTAGACGGACAAAGGCATCTACCGTCACAGCACTTTATATTCTCAGAGTCTGCACCTATATCTACTGCTACTGCCACTCCTCTTTTTCAAAAAACAGCGATAAGGCAAACTTGAACTTACCTCAAGGATGGAGACGCCCAGTGGCAGTGAACGACAGCAGACTGTGGTCGAGCGCAGTGGACGGCCTTGTCGGCTATGTGAAGGAACAGGTGAGGTTCTTGTTATCAGCCACGACTGTCAAGCAGATAGTGGGCCGAGGGGATGCATAAGGTGAACTGAAGTGGTCAAGAGAGTTGTCCGTCCACCCCTATAAATATAGCATGAGTGGCATGCACACCATTGCAGAGGTTACGTTGAAACAATATTACTGTGGCTCCAACTCAAGAAACCCACTTTGCCGTAGAGTACTGACTTGAGTAAAGTCATACGTGATGATGCTATTTTCGTAATACGCATATAGCAAGACTTACGTTTGTAATCTCAATTATGTATGGCAAGTGATTATGTCACAACTTGACAGTCTCCTGTTAAGACTTCCTTTTCTCCTTTACCATGCTCTGCTTACGACTAATCTACTGTCATCATAATAGTGGCTACTACACCACTTATAGTGTCCCAGTCATGAGCAGAAATGTTGATCCTAGCACATAAAATAGCCACTTTTGTATTATTCTTACCTGATCCAACACCCTGTAAAACTGTGAGGGCATGTCTGTATACTTACATTCCTACAGTATACTCGCGTTGACGACTGAAGGTGCGTATGAGGTCTTGGGGGGCATGTATAGGTAGATATGGGCCCGTAGACTATTGCTAGTATGTTTTGAAGGCCTAGGGAGTGATTCTCACCGAGTTTTTAGTCGTTTTGTACGCGGATCACGTGAGATTTCACCCGCGTCATGTCATCCCTATATAGAGAGTCTACCGACTCTCTAACAAGTGGAAAAATCATTGCTTCAAAATGAAAGGGGGATATAGGGATGGCTTGAAGCACAAAAAAGGAAGAAACAAGGGGTCATTACACAGCAAAGTTGCACAAAGCTACATGACACCATCCCTATATCTTTGTTCGATATTAAACTTTGCTTATAAACAATAAAACAAAGATATAGGGATGGTGTCATGTAGCTTTGTGCAACTTTGCTGTGTAATTCAAGCCATCCCTATATCCCCCTTTCATTTTGAAGAAATGATTTTTCCACCTGTTTCAACTATTTTTAACAGCTTATGACAACACTGCATTTATTGTTACAGTCACTCTGATGTTCATGGGTATGTTGTAGATAGGCTTCCATAGACAAATTGTAGCTACTGTTGCAAGTAGTAGCTAATGGGGCTGCTAGTGCCTGAAGCAGGGGCTAGATACCGCATTCACCTCTGTATTGTCTTCAACAAGGATGTAATTAGATTATTGCACATGGTTGAGGTTTCATGGGCAGGCTTTGGTAATCAGGCTACAACCAGGGGGGGACAAACAATGAAGGCCTATTTGTGCGCTCCGCAAGGCTCGCCTAACACCACGCAGACTCTGGCAGGTTGCTCTTCGTGCAAATCAACAGCAAGCTAGCCAGTTGGAAATGTGCACACTTACTTACAGAAGGTACTGGAGGCTGAGAGTTCCTCTGCAGGTCTGCCAACTCGCCTGGTAATACGCTCGCAAACGCATTGGACAACGCCCCTGCCTGGCGCATGCGCGCGGCTCACTGATGCTGAGTTGCAGTAAATGGCGTTGTTCAGTGTCGACCATGGAAGAGCTCCATGATCTACCGTAGTGACTAGCGGCAAGAAAGAAACGATCGCTTGATGTCCGTGCACACCTCCGGCGAAATTGGAGACCTTCAGTTGAAAAAATCAGTGCTTGAACTGGTACTGGTAAGGAGATAGCGGGTTTAATGCTAATTTTTATATGTCCCGAACATTATGTTGCACACCATGCATTTGAGAAAAGGAGACAAGTAAATAAGTAAAAAAAATTTATTAAAAAAGCATGGAATATAGGGATGCCATAAAAAGCAAGGAGAGAAGACCTAGTGCATGTGATGCAGTATATAGTAGAATGGATAATGGTTGCATCTTCAAACTGACATTGTTTGCTCGTGTAAATTTTCCTCCACAAGCCCTATATTGTCGCCACCTGTACTTACTGAATTGTGGAGTCCTAAGACAAGGGAATTCAGGAGAGATCGAAGAACGCAGCATTGTTAGTTGAGCAAATGTGGAAGTGACTTAACACTATCCAGTCACAACCCATAACCGAGGTTGTTAGCAGTTGTTTCTATGTGCTATAAAAGTCTTCTTCACTTATGAAAAGCACTAAAGTGCAAACCCTCGGCAAACGGAGGGGGCGTTACCTCTCTCATGTGCTAAGGAAACGAGTCATAGCTGCACATCATACAAGGGTAACACACTCATACTTTTTTGCTACAATATAGGGCTCGTGTTGAGAAAGATTTACACGAGCAACAAATGTCAGTTTGAAGAAATCTTTGGGCAGCGTCAAAGTGGGACTCCAGTTTCCCTTGGATGACAGTCTCGGTTGCTGAGGAGTTAGAATTATTCTAAACCCATTACCGTTTGAAGTGCTCCAATTGAGGCTGTGACTTAGTTCAGGACAAGATATAAAAAAATGTGTCCTCATATTCTAATATGCTGCACCCGCAGCATGCACTGCTGAGGGATACGTTTGGGATGTTACTCAATCGATCATCAGTGTCAATTTCTCGTGCTAGGGAAAAGATCACAGCTCTATGCTCTGACTACTCGCTCTACAGATATGAGATAATAATGAAGAGTTGTTGGTCTTTGAAGCCAAGTGATGGTCCAACGTTTCAGCATTTTGTGGGCATGCTCACTCAGTATAGTCTTCTGAGATGGAGTCGGACTATACCTGGACTTGTCTAAGGTGTCACGTCGACTGGACATGTCCCATTGTCTCCGATCCATGAAAGGCTCACTCCCTCCCTCTTCTCCACCTTCTGCTCTTCCTGCTATACAGCAACAGGACACTGTCGGCCGAGCATATTGATAATGAGTACATCATTTCTTCAAAATGAAGGGGGATAATATAGGGATAGCTTGAAGCACCAAAAAGAAAGGAACAAGAGTTTGTTAAAAAGTAAAAACGCACAAAGCTACATAATAGATACCATCCCTATAATTATTTTTGGATCCTTATATTTTTGTCCTATAGACTCATGGACAAACAAAGGACGGTATCATGTAGCTTTGTGGGTATTTTTTTAACAAACCCTTGTTCCTTCCTTTTTGGTGCTTCGAGCCATCCTTTTATTCCCCTTCATTTTGAAGAAATGATTTTTCCATTTGTTTTTAATCTAATTGTTTTGCTTTGAAAATTTTCAGGTTTTTTCTCGCTTCGTTGTTTATTCCTTCTTATGCCCCTCAATTTTGTTACGCTGTTAGTCCTAGCATAGTGTCGGCATCTTGTACCATTACTGTAAAGGAAGGGATTGCTTGCTGATACATTTTCTGCCTTTATCCATTGCTACTTATTTTGTTAACTTGTGTTTGTATAGAGTTGCATGCA